TTTTATAGATAATGTCCCCAAAATCCCATCGTGGGATCTGTAATTCAATGTAGAAGCAGTTTGGGGGTCTCTGGTCTCTCCAACACCTGAAACATGTCACGTCTTTCCTCATTTACTGTCTGTAGCTTTCCCGTGTAGCTCGCGGTATGTCACAGACGTGATTTATCGGGATGTCCGCGTGTGCCGTGTATTCGGGGAGCTGAATTCCGGACAAATCGATTTGTACCTCTGTCCATGCGGTGCTAAGATTTGTACAGCTCTACCGCACAGCACGGCCCTGTCTAGCAAGGCTGGGGACCCGACATTCCACTTCTGGTGTGAGAGGCAGCGGCTCCGTTTATGTTGTGTTCTAGAGAGATGCGTGTTATAGAAAACCTCCACCGACAGAGAGAGAGACCCCGCATACATAGAGAGGGAGGACCGCCTACTGTACAGAGAGAAGGGAGATCCCCAACATTCACCCTGTGTGTGTCCAGAGAGAAGGGAGATCCCCAACATTCACCCTGTGTGTGTCCAGAGAGAAGGGAGATCCCCAACATTCACCCTGTGTGTGTCCAGAGAGAAGGGAGATCCTCAACATTCACCCTGTGTGTATCCAGAGAGAAGGGAGATCCTCAACATTCACCCTGTGTGTATCCAGAGAGAAGGGAGATCCTCAACATTCACCCTGTGTGTATCCAGAGAGAAGGGAGATCCTCAACATTCACCCTGTGTGTATCCAGAGAGAAGGGAGATCCTCAACATTCACCCTGTGTGTGTCCAGAGAGAAGGGAGATCCTCAACATTCACCCTGTGTGTATCCAGAGAGAAGGGAGATCCTCAACATTCACCCTGTGTGTAGAAGAGTTTGAGTCTTCACTTCCATAAGCAGTCAGTCATGTAGATGGAGAGCGCAGCCCCCGTTGCGGCCCCGTCCTGTCAGTTGAATTCCCCTTTTGAATTATGAAGAATGAACGTGCGTGTGGGGGTGCTGCGCTCTGCCCTCATGCGTGTGGGGTGCTGCGCTCTGCCCTCATGCGTGTGGGGTGCTGCGCTCTGCCCTCATGCGTGTGGGGTGCTGCGCTCTGCCCTTGTGCGTGTGGGGTGCTGCGCTCTGCCCTCGTGCGTGTGGGGTGCTGCGCTCTGCCCTCGTGCGTGTGGGGCGCTGCGCTCTGCCCTCGTGCGTGTGGGGCGCTGCGCTCTGCCCTCGTGCGTGTGGGGTGCTGCGCTCTGCCCTCATGCGTGTCCAGCAGTTGCTGCCCTATAGATATAAATGGCGGCCCCCCATGTGCAGGTGAATGTTCCGGGGCCGCCGTCCCCGGCTCTCACACAAGCTGACTGTCCTTGTTTTTTGCCGTCTCTTTAGGAATGACGTGCCAGGCGCGCTCCTCCTACGTGCGCACAGAGGTCTTGTGGGGACACCGCTTCACCCCGGTCCTGTCCCTAGAGAAGGGCTTCTATGAGGTGGACTACACGACCTTCCACGATACCTACGAAACCCCCACCCCGGGCTGCAGTGCCAAGGATCTGGACGCCCTCCACGGAGATCGGCTCTTCTACCCTCTGTACACTCCGCAAAGGAACAAGGGGGCGCAAAACGGAGCGCCCCGATCCGAGGACACCAAGCTGACCACACAACCAGACTGAGCTCCTCCTCCTCGCATGGGGTCTGCTGCCCCCTCCGGGGTGGGAGGCTCTTCTACATGGACTGGACTTGGGTTGGGTCATGGAAGGTGTGACCACTGATGGCTTCCTATTGTACGGTGATCTCCGAGGGTCACGGACACGGGGGCGGGTCAGAGCGACACACAGATGATG